ATAGTGAGTTACTGGGCACCATAGGTATGTCTCACATAATCTCTTGTTGCACTGGAATAACAGCCTTCAGCCTGAAATAACCCATAAAAACCTGTTCTCAGTATGTCCTTAGCTCTTGGTTTTCTGCACTGAAAACATTCACCATCATACACCAGTAGTCCCAACTAGAAAAGAACGTGGTTCAGACCACAGCTTACTTTAGTAAAATCCACATTTTAGTGCCCATTTCTCACATCTGATCTACACACAGAATTCCTTTTGATTTCTGAGAAGGAATCAGCTCCTTATATTGTTGCTAGATTCTGACATTTTGAGAAGTATATAGACACCTGTCAGGACCCAGACTGGTCTGACTGCTGTTCACATTCCCCACCGAGTAGAGAGGAGCGGCCTCCCAAGCAGAGAGCACCTTAACAGTAATACTAGTGACAGCACAGCCCAGAAACAGCCCATCGAGAGCAGCAGAGAGAGACCACGGCTATTCACAGGCAGTGGCTCCTACATGGATCAGCGGTTTCGGTGGGCAGGGTCAGTGACAGTCATTAATCAAATATTTCTTCTCTTCTGCAGGATGTCAGGAGTGAACCCCAAGGACGGTAAGAAAACTTTTGATTTAAAGAGCGGCTGAAATGACTTGACAAAATAGGATTAAATAAGCCTATCTTTTTTTGCTTAGGATTACTTCTTACTAACACAGATTAGTCTCTCCACAATGACCACATTCTTTATCATTTAGACACTTATTTTATGTGCACTTTTGAAACCAGCAGCTTGCCAAAATGATTGCATGAACTCCTCATGGGATTCTAAAATACTGAAATCTCCCAAAGGTTCCTAAGTTCCTCTGCTGATTCACACAAGAGACATCCAAACCGGACAGTGATGTGCTCTCATAAGCTCTACTGGATGAGGACCAGTAGAGAGAGGACAAGCTGCAAAGGCAGTTCCCCTTTGATTTGTGAAAAAGATCTTGTGAGGAAACAAACTAGAACCCCATTGCACAGCTCTTCGGTGTCTTAGCAGTCTATTTTTTTTCCCCTAGTTGAATTCTTTTTTCTTCCTACAGCAGCATTTCTGAGCAGTAGAAGACCTCTCGTGGGCATTGAAGATGACGGAAAATCTTCTTCTACTCGTGAAAGGAGACTCCAGTAAAGAAATACTGACTCCCCTCTTGCATAACACCATATTCAATCAGTGCAGCTACACGTTGGCTGATGCTAAGAGAAATACCCTTTCACTTTCACCAAATCACAAGAATGTAATCCAAGAATGTGCAAAGCTTGATGTCTTTCCTTAAATTTGCTCTCCCTTTTTACATGATCACTTGGCTCTGTGGGTCAGAGCCAACAAGCTTGTTTCCTGTCAGCAGCTATAGAGATTCCTTACAAAAGAAACTACATAATAAAGTTTCTGTTCTGCTTGAGCAAATACATCCAGTCTAATGTGGTTTTTCTGAAGTGAGTCGGGCATCGCCACACACATGACCATGCAGTGCCCTAACACAGTGCTCCCGGACCCAACACAAGAGACGCTCCGTGGATCACACCAATAACAGTAACTTTAACAATAAAAAAGGTGATGATGGACGGACAGATATAAAGTGCCATTAGACTCTCCCAGGGATCTGAAGCTAATATCAGTAAAAAACTGAGAAGTTAATGAAAAAACCCCTTAAGCTCTTTGTTCTGAATTCAAAGTGCACAACAGGACTATAAGTCATGCACGAACAAAGCGCACCTCTGAAAAAAATTAAGATTTTTCCATATATATATATATTCACGTTCCTGCACTTCCTTCAGCAAAAAGGCAAATTCCCTCAGCTCTGGAGGAAGCACTAGGGAAGGTCCAGGCGCAATGAGCTGTTCGAGCAGAGTTTGCTGTGACTATTTTGGTTCCCCTACATAAGGAGGGAACTCACCAGCCCGTGGCACGACCGTAGCTGTTGTGTTAGCAACGCTGGCCTGCAAATCTACACTCCAGTAATTGAAGGGAGATGCTTGTAAAGATTTAAGAGGCTAGTAATTCCCCACTGCAGAAGCATATAAAACAACTACATGGATGCTGTAGTTTGCTAACATAACCTGTTTGGAAAATTTGTTGTTAGCCTCATTGCTGGGTATTTCAATCCACATACTAGTAGCTACAAAAATGATAACATGTCTGGAATTACATATTTTATTTTCCTTCCACCCTCCTTAGAGACACTACTTTTCTGTCTTCTATTTTCTGACATTTAAAAAAAAAAAAATCTACACTGCTGACACCAGCCCACAGTGCAGCCAGGACCGCGGCTGCAGGACCGTCGGCACAGCACTGCTAACAAACACCCGTACTGCTGGCATTCTCACTGGAAAGAGCTGACAAGAAGTTCTTGCAAACTGCAGCAAAGCAACATCACAATCTGCTGGAAAAGAAAGACCAAATGGTACAAACGATATTTTTCCTGATGCAGAAATCAGGTCACTATTGTACGCATTGCTCGGACAGCAAGAGAGAGCCATTCCATGGCCAAAGGCAGCCATGCGTTTGTATTTCAGCTGGAGGAGCTGAGTCAACACGTGCTGGTCACGGGATATTTACCTGTACAATGTAGGTGTCAAAATATTCTGTCTGTACTTAAACTGCACTCTATAAACCCAGTTCAGTTTGCTTTTCATGTTCCAACCCAGCAGAACAGGCACGATTCCCAATAAAGCCGCTCGGGACCACGCACTCCCCCGTTCCCGCTAGCTCGGGCTGCCCAGCAGCTCCCCAGCTGAGGGCGAGCACTGGTGAGAGCAGCCACCAGCTCGTGGTGCCACCTGCTGACGATGCTCCAGCTCCTTCCTCGGGTCCCTGCTTGCCTTCTGCGCTCGGGGGATTAAACAGTTGCCCATGAACAGGTCCCACAGTGCCGGCCTGACAAACAAGAGCCACGTCTGGGTCTGAAGTCAGTTTTTTGGTCTTTTCCATGGATCCTCAGCATGTGTTGATGAAAACTGTGGGGCATCTTTTCCAGATTGAAAAGGCTGAGCTGCAGAGGAAACACTTCCTATGTGCCAGATCACCTTTGCTTTGTGTTATTGCCAGAAAAAATACAATTCTGCTTCCCATGGTGGCTGTCCGTATGTATGGATTTATATTTCAGTGCAGTATTTCACAGGTCATCAGCTTGCTGAACTGCCAGGCTACAAACTCCAGACTGAAATTAATCCCCACTGAGATGAACTGCACAGCAGGACATGAGGGGCTCTGTTATACTTTGGGGGTTTTTTTCAAGTCAGGCCTTCATGTTTCGTCTGGTGCTTCAAGCTCCTCTGACCCTCACGCAGCAGGGCTGACCCCGAACTGCGGCTATTAACAGTAGCTGTTATCAGTGTATTTGGTGACAGCCACCCCTTGGGCTTACTGGAAAACCATATCCCAATGATTCATTTCCTCAAACTAGAAACGCTAGCATTTCTAGAGAATGAAGGGCATGAGGAGTAAGAAGGAATATGCACTCAGTGGAAATGTAACTGGTAAAAAGAGGATCTGCAGGTGCTGAGCAGATCTGACGCAGGGCCACCAGGAGGAGCTCAAAACCTGCCCTACGCAGAAAACGAGGCCCAGGAGGCATCCCAGGAAAGGACCAAGTGCAGCGACTCCTTAGGACTGAGACATTTCAGATGAAACAAACAGAGAAAAAAAGATTCCTTCAGGTTTCTTCCAGGACAGTGTAACTCGGGTTTGTGCAGGCTGTTCAACCCCACACTCAGAGTGAGTAACAGTGCCAGGACAGAACTCAAAGAGCTGAGCCTTCAGCTGCTGTAAGGGAGAACAGCTGCACGGTTGTGACAGCCCGTGCCCACTCCGCTTTCCACCTCTTCCCAAACCTTCCTCCTCTCGCCCATCCCTCCGTCGGGTCCAGAACTCCTCTGAAAGACAAGGTGAACCCAACAACCCGCACTGTTGCCCTGGGAACCCTTGGCGAGTCAGCCGCTGTCCACATGAGGAGTAACAGAATCTCTGCAGAAGCCAGACTTGGCTGTTCTGTATTTGACGGCAGAAGTTTGACAGAAGGTTACTGAAACTTTTGAGAAAGACTATATCTGCTGATTGCCAGGCCAATTTTTAGGACTGGTAGCTTTAAACAATCACTTGAATTTTTCAAGTGTTGTTACAAACTCATGTTCTAATTATTTTCTATAGCTAAACATATAAAGATCTTAATAGTATTAATACTCGTAACAGTGAGAATTTCCTGCACTACCATCGATTTCAACAAGACTATTGAAATATGACTGCACCTCAAATCATGAAAAAAATCACCAGAAAAGATTGTGAAGTGCCTAATTCTCATGTATTTCACCTGGAAATGGGCAGCTGAAGGGAATAGCTGGGCCTTCCTCACCTCAGACTGGAGGTTTAGTCAAATAGCAGAGGTTGGATAACTTCCTTAAAGCCTCACGTCTCACGCAGGCTGAAGCTGTTCGGTACGTTAACAACAGCTTGACAGCACATGCTGCGTTTCAGGATTCACAGACTGCTGTAATTCTAAAGCCTGAGAATTACAACAGAGAGAAAGTACTTTGAGAGACCCATCCCTGTCCCAGCTCTCCATTTATTCTGTAATGGACGATACTCTTCCCCTCATAAGCAGGGAAACATAACGTACTAACTACAGGGTTAGAAAACTGTCTGAGGCACAGCTGATCCTGTTCCACACCTACTGATTCTAGCCACACCTCATATTATAATATGAAAAGAAAAAGAAAAAAAAACCCACCAAAACAACCAAAAGGAAAGCAATCCGGTATGCGGCTGTGAGTCCAAATAACAACAACAGTGTGTGCAGGCTCATAAATGCTTCAGAATTGACCAAGAGGAAGCACGTTTCATGATGACACAATCTTGTTGCTGTAGTCATTCATCGAAGGGAAACTCCCACAGGAAAAGGCATAAAGCTGCTTAGGGAAGGCTAAGAAGCTGCTCAGTGCTAGTCAGTCAAACATTGGGTTAGATTCACAACAGAGCTCACCATGACTACCAGCCAAGGCCCTTTTCAATTTTTTTCTGGGTCCCTCAGGGGTAGTTCAGGGTGTGGTTTGGCCCAGCAAGGACCTTCTTACAGACCTTCGAGTGCAGATGGTGGTGCCAGCAGCACACATACGTCCTTCTCCTGTGCCAGACCCCTCTGGCTGGCTACTGGAGGAGGGGCACCTTGGGGAGGCTTCGGCGAGCACCCTGGGGAAAGCATCTTCCTGGGTGGGAATGAGAAACAGACTATGCAAAACCTGAATGACCGTTTGGCTGCTTATCTGGACAAGGTCCGTGCCCTAGAAGCAGCCAACGCTCAGCTGGAAAGCTGCATCCTAGAGTGGCACAAGAGAAAGTCTCATGGAAAGAGGCATGACTTCAACCAATACGAGCAAAACGTCACTGACATGCAAAGACAGGTAAGTCAGAGCTGTAAGTGACTATGTCATTCTGTGCTCTTTTAAGGAATCTGGGTACTCATTTATGCTGCTGGCTTTCCTTTAAAGAAAGTTAAAGAAAACCTTCTAAATGTTAGAAATACTAAGGAAAGTGGTCACAGGACCTTGGGCAGAAACATTCTTTGTGTTCACAAGGAGGAGAATGGGGAACCCGACAGAAAGGCTGGAAGGAGACAAGGGGGATTCTGCAAAGACCGGTAGCATAAAGAGATTTGTTTGCTGCCAAGTGTTCGTTTCTGTACATGAAACTGTGGTTTGAGTAACTATGTCTGGCAGAATTTGGTCTTTTTGACTGCACATGTACTCAAGCAAATTACAAAGCAGGCAAACTGAAGAGTCTGCCCTCTGTTGCATTTCATTTCTTTGATTCCTGTGGTAGCAGACAATGAAACTACAGGAGGTTTGGGTCCAATGAGCTTATGTAATCAGATGGAAAAATACTTCATTGTAATTAAGAAAATAGCAGTGACAAATTCCTTGTGGATGTTTTCACTATAATTAAAAGAAGAATTTCTGGTTCCTGCCAGCAGTTAATATTAACGTTCAACAGTAACTCTTTCAATCTCCCAAACTCACGTGTCTTCAAATTTAAGCATAATATTAATCTGTATTCATAATGAACATACTTAGCACTGTAACCATCTGTGTGACTAACCATTGTAATTAACTTTACATAGCTGTACGGGGCAAAACCCAAAGCTATTCCAAATGCAATGCTGTAGTTTTCCCTCCACGTTTTAGAGTGTGGCCACTTGGCATTCTCAAGACCCTGTGACACTTTTTCAAGAGGGCTTGCGAATGGTATGATCCCACATCTTTGCTGACTGAGGCCAGGGACTTAATCAAACTCCTGCTCCCTGTTAAATGTGTTGCCTCCAGGCAGAAGATGAGGCATTCTGACCACAGACAATGTGTAAGGAGAGCCAGAATTGTCCTCACCTATTTCTCTTTTGAGGATAAAGCAGGGTCATCTGTCTCCAGACCTGTCACTTCAGCACTTCCTTTTTTAACCGATCCAGAGACAAAAACTTGTTCATCAAGAAGATAAACGTGTTCACATTGATCGGAATGAATAAATCAGAAAGCTTTAGGCAGACAATTAAGACTAAAAACATAATGCCGGTTGGGGTAAAGCCCTCCCTTTTGAACAGGTTGCACCCAAAACACTTATTTCTGACACTCACCACTTCGGGGGCTGTCAGTGGCTGCAGGCACCTGCTGGACCAGGGGCTGTCTCAGCACCGAACGTGGTGCTCCCGCTGGGAGCCAGGGCTAGTACAGGATTATTGACAGGTGACAATTCAGTGATTGAACCCAGAATTTTTACTTTCTCTATAAATTATTGCAATTAGCACCATGACTGCCAGTGAAATGAATGAAAATATAGCATCTAACTATTAACCATAATTAAATTAATTAACCATGAATTTAAAAGGCAAAACTAATTTAGCACCCAAAATGAAATTTAGAGAAAATTTAGGATCCTCTATCCAATAACCCAGAAAGTCTATGATATACTGGCTGTCTAAACTTGGAGGCATACAGTCATTTGGGTCCTACATTTTGGCCAACACTCTTCCTCGAATACCTGAGTTCTGGGTGAACATGCCAGATGCAGCAACAAGCTGCCTTGCTCCAGCCTGGCTCCACTCTAACCCAGACACGAAGTAAAACAGCACCAGTTCTTCAGGTAAATGCCTCATTCAAACATCTGGTACCGCTAAACAAGCAAACTGACTCACAGAGCATCCAAGGATTGATGCTGTTGGACAAAGGGCACGAGACATGCTGAGGAAGCAGACGGTGCAGGAAGCCTTCTTGAAAAAAGTCTGTTTTGAGAAGGAATTTGAGAGTATTTCATACATAATAAAGTCTGGGTTCTTCGTTAAGTTACCTGTAAGTTTGCAGATTGATATTAGTGATGCATCCATATTCATGGTAGCAAAGAATTCTGTACCATTATAGACAGGTAAGTGTCCCCATTCAAAATGCACTGCGAACTGGCAGAGCAACCAGTACCTACAGCAGTCAGCAAAACACTGACAACTGTTCAGATTGCAGAGAAAGGGTCATAAAGCATTTCCAGAAATGTGGTGCTGTGTTGCACCATTATGAAACGGCACAAAGTTGAGGAACTCACACGTTGCTTTCTCATTGCCTTACTGCCTTCCCTAGAAAACTGAGCGTTCCCTAAGGATGGATTCAAGCATTGCCTCTTCTCTGACAACAAACTCCAGGCAGGGACAGGTTTAGGGGACTGTTATACTACTTCGGCTGGCCTTGATCATGTCCCAGGGCAGTATCTGAGGTGCGCTGCTAATTGCTCAAGAATGTACAGTCTGTTCACAGATTAGTTAAAACATTCCACAGGCACCTTCTTTTTCACTCGGAGAGGTAAACTTTTGACACTTCAGCACAGTTTTGTCATTTCCTCATTTCTTTGTGATTCATTTAGGTGTGGGAAGTCTTACTTCAAGGTGCTGAGAGCTCTGTAAACGGCTAATGATTTCTGTACAGCCCTAATGCACCTTGTTTTGCTATGTAAGTGCTGAGTGAAGGCAGCTGTTGGAATTGCAACCGTGCTTCTCCTTCCTCTTTGTTCGAGAAGGACATGACGTCCCACAGTATTAGTTCCTGCTCATTATATATGAGCTCCTGCTAGGGTTCTCTCAAAGATTTTGAAGGGAATACCGAGCTGCCACAGTCAGCTCTGCAGTGCAAGGGTGTTCCATGCTCGCAGGGACTGACAAGACGTTTCAGTGCGTGCTGAGTACGGTAAATGAATGATGCAGTCGCTTCCTCCTGCACCTTTTAGGGCAACTTTCACCATCCCAAAGCAATATCAGAAACAGGAATTAATCACTCCGTGATGCTGGACGACTCAGTACGGTTATAGGTGAATAATTGCGTGGACCATGACAACTAGTTGCCAGTGTTATCCTCAAATGGCAATCCACGTGACTCCAGACTGAGGGACATGGTGGATCGGAGGGGTCCTGCTCACGGGTTGACGCTACCATCATCGTTCTGCCTCTGCATCACCACGCTGATTCAGCACGGTGGTTATGCACATGCTTACTTTTTAGCGTATGAGTAATTCCAGCATTTTGATTGTACTCAGACACAGCTGAATTTGCCCTAAAGGTGACCAGGGCTGCTTTTCCAGCAATGCTAAACAGAATCAAAATCAGTTCACAAAAAAAGAGGAAGACAGTGACTGTTACCCTGTAATATACCATGAAGTTTGTGCAATATTATTCATAGCCTCTACCTGGCCAGGAATAAGATGACTCCTCCTGCTTCAATCCAGAAAAGTAAGACAAAGAGAAAAGTAAGACTATGGCAAAAGTTGCAGAAACACCTAAGGGAACCAGGAAAATAAGCTTTTATTCATGTACTCTCCTTAACATGGAACTTCTACTATTTAGGTGCTTCCTACAAGCAGCAGGGAGTCTAAAACAAGACAGGTTGCTCCCCATCACCATATGGCAACACTGAGTCTCCTGTTGGATTTTCTGTTTTCCAGATTGAGGATGGCAAGATCACCAATGCCAGTATCCTTTTACAAATTGATAACGCAAACATGGCATCTGAAGACTTCAGGCTCAAGTAAGAAAAGTTCTTTGGTTTCCTTGATTAAGTTTGAAAGTGGATTAAGCAAAATATTGCTTTTTCTTGATAATCCAATATGAAACTGATTTTACTGAGGTTTTCTGCTGATAGTGGATAAATAAAACCAATGCAGAACAGAAAAAAAAAAAAACAGAAAGGATAAAAAGGATGCAAAACCCACAAATGATTGCTGAACAATCTTGAGTCACCCTGTTTATGATACTTAGTTCAGGGCCTGAAGAGCAGGTTTTACAGCAGACACTTGATACTTGTGACAAAAGGCACTTAAAACTGTCATCTGGGAATACAAACCAACCCTTCCCTGCATTGGGCTTCCCCAGTCCAGCCCCAATCTATTTCCTGCACTTGTCACCTCTCCTGCCCACCTCCGCAGGAGATCCCCGTCCTTCAGCACCTTCCGCTGCCCAAGGGTTGCCCTTCCTTGGCTACCCCTACGCAGGCTGATTTTTCGGCACGTTGTTGGAAGATAGTTCTCAGACCAACTAAAAAGACAAAACGTTTGGACAGAAACAGGCAGATCTTCGCAAAGGGAAGACATTTACATTTCTGTAAGTTAGACGTGTTAGGAATCGTGAAGATTTGTCTTATTTTCAGCAGATGATGATCAGCTATTAACAAAATCTCTCCGCTTCTGGTAATACCCTAACAAACTTCAGGACTCTGCCCACTGTAGGCCTTATCCAGCCTTGCCTTCCTTTCTGTCTCATCCCCACAGAAAGGCAACAGTGGAACTACTGTGAGAGACTGGAATCAGAGAGTGAGTCTGGTGGACTGAACATAGAAACAGCAGTAGAGCCCACCCAAAAAAATGAAGTAAAGTGAGAGATTCTGAAGAGCAAAAGTGCTCCATATGCCCAAGGGAAGACACAACAGTGTCCTTCTGACTTTGGCTCGCTACAGATGGCAAACTCAAGAGGTTTAGAAAGGAATGTTAGTAACTGGTTCCATGACATTTTTCCTGTTTTCTGAAGGACTGAAAAGTTATCATTTTGGAAAAGCTACAGAAAGCATTGATTGTTGATTCTGTTTTCACATCTTTATTGACAAATTTTTGAGAATCGTATTTTCAAAGCTTTCACAACCTGATTAATGTTAAAATGAAAGAAGGAGCAATTATAGGAGGAGCTGTGAGGAAGAAAGAAAAGCAATAATAAAACCCATCTTATTTTTTAGACTATTCAAGAATATTCAAAGACCATATTTTAGAAATAGAATTTGTTTCCTTTTTTTTTTGTTCTCTCTAGTTCCCTACAGAGAGGACTTCAGCAAGTCAACTTCTCTTTGATACTCTTGTATAATACAAGAGGCCCGAAGGGGTCTGTTCTCAACAAGCTCACTTGATCCTCTTTTTCCTCACAAAGGTACGAAGCAGAGAAGGCTCGCAGGCAGGGAGTGCAGCTCGATGTTGAGAACCTGCGTAAGGAGCTCGACGGCCTGACCATCGTTACAACAGATCTGGAAATGGAAATCGAAGGCTTGAGAGAGGAGCACATCCTCAGGAGGAAAGACCATGAGGAGGTAGAAAGAGTTCCACTTGGTAAAATCCTATCACACAAATCTTCACTACCATGTAATTAACTTTGAGTAAGATCCACAATCTATAAATGGGATTGATGATTCAGACCCTAATCATGTTCCTAAAGAAGCCAATGAGAGTCAGATGAGGCACAAAGGGCTGTACTACTTCACCAATTAACTTGGGATTTCAGGATGGATAACAAATTGCTGTATTTTCTCCCACTCTTTTCTGGTTACCTACCCATCTGTCACACATGGCTAATAATACTTACACATTCGACAGAAATGTTCTCAGAAATACTTAGACACAAATACACAGAGATTACAAGTAAACCGGAAACGTTACTGGTTGCTGTTGAGTTTTATTCATCACAGACTTTTCCCTCAACTCTGGACATATCATTTAGCAGAATCACAGAACACAGAGTGGCTGAGGTTGGATGGGACCTCTTGAAGCCACCTTGTCCACCCCCCAGCTCAAGCAGGGTCACCTAGAGCAGGCTGATCTGAACTAAACAGGCCTTGAATTCTCAAAGGATCAAAATTAAAAAGAACGGTTGGTGAAGTCAAGTAAAATTACTTATTCTTGCAAAATCCTGAGCACAATAATTAGATAATACTTAACGACTGTCAAAAAAACATCCTGCTCTCAATTCTTCCAGAGCTACACCACAACAGTCTCTGTCATTCCCTCACACAGAATACCACTGCTTGACAGCACGCTGGTTTCGTGTTGCTTGATCTGGTGTTGTTCTCAGTTATTACCTAATGCAGAACCAAACATCCCACTCAGTATCTGTGGAGTATTAAAATGGAGCCCAGGAACACAAGGGTTACACAGCAGCGGGTGCAGCTGTCTTTGGCTGATCCCCGTATAGCCAAGGATACAACCCAACAGTGTAACGAAACAGTTCTTGGAAGCAGGGCAACCCTCAGAGACATCAGCATGTCCAGTTGATCTGCATTTCGGAGGCCGTGATGTCATACCCAAAGCAATGCTACTTTGCCTGGGCGCTTTTGAAAATGGTACCTAGCACACAGGACTGTGCTACACCGAAAGGAATGTTGCCATACCCGCTTGACTTGTCCTCTAATTATGTTGTTTACACGGTAATTATATGCTTTAATCCAATTATTCCTTTAACAATTACATAGAAGTTTTACATTACTCTCCTGTAAACTTAGGTATGGCTCCATAAATATTCACATACAGGGTAAGAAAGATGAAATTACTGTTAGATTTTCATCAAAGGTTTTGGGTTCCTAACAGATAAATAAATAAAAAATGTCAGTGCTTCTTCATCAAGTACATATCTTCCAGAACAGAACATAAAAAGATCTTCTCACATTTTTTACTGAGTTCTCTAGCACAGTTCTGCTACAGAAGCAGACGTAAGTCACTGGTTTAAGTCACGTCATAGTATTATCCATATATAAACTTGCCAAATAGCAGTTACTCAATCTATATCATAATTAACCCACCACAACGAAAAAAATATTTTTGGGTGTTGTGAGAGGATGGAACTGAAAAAGACAGGAGAGGAATGAAAACTTTCCACTTCCATAAACAAGTGTTCTTGTTTCCTCTGCTAATGTATGAGTAGGATATGGAAGCAAATCGCTCATCCCAAGACTTCAAAGTCAACGTAAAAGTAAATGCAGCACCTCCTGAAGACCTAGCCAAGATTCTAGCAGAAATAAGAGAAGATTATGAAGCCATAATTGAAAAGAATCGCCAGAGCCTGGACAGCTGGTACAAAGAACAGGTAACGGCTATTCCCTGCTCATTTCAAAGATCCCGGTTGTGCACAGGACTGACTAGAACCAGTAAACTTTCCTCTTGCTTCTGCTCCACAGAGCGCAGCTATGTCTCTGGCAGCAACCCCTAACCCAGAACAGATACAGCGCAATGAGAACGAGATCAAGGATCTAACACGTACTTTACAGTCCCTGGACATCGAGCTGCAGGCACAGATGAGTAAGGTATCTATCGCAGACACCTCTGCCGGTCACTGATACTTCATATATTCTCAGAAATTGTCAGGGACCAATTCTTCATTAAATCCACAGCCTAGCATAACCTTGTTGCAGTTATTAGAGTATCAGTGAAATTGGAATTTGGACCGTGCTCGACTGCCAGAATATGCAAAATAGATTCAGCAACCATCACCAAGAAGTGAAAAATTTATGTCTCTCCTTAGAACAAAATATGGGGAGAGGAAAAAGAAGAGATGGGATAGCTGACTCCATGATCTAGAAAGAAAAAATGTCCAAGAAGACAGATAGTAATACAAAGTTCATGTTTACAGCCCCTACTATAATGCATGAAATATATGAACTGTGAAAAATGTTGGTGGGGATCTTCAGAAAGATTACTCAGCTCTTGTGCAGGTTAAAGCTCACATACCTGTGACCTGGAGACTTTGGCGCAATTCTGGACAGTAAATGCAGAACTGACAAAAGAGTCAACAGTTACAGGAGCAGTTTTGAGCAGGAAGAATAGGGATAAATTACTCAAATTTTGCTTCTCATTACGCACACATGACACAACTTCATGATTCTGCTGTCTTCCCATCAATATCATGCAAATACATGTGTGTTTAAACTACCACACTCTTAATTTTGCAATCTTCTAGCTAGACACCAAATTTGCTGGCATTTCTGCATTGTATCTATCACAGAAATAATAACCATAGCATTGGTATTATCTGCTCTGCCAGAAACACATGCTGGAAGACACCTTGGCTGACACTCGGAATTACTACGCTGTTGCGCTTCAAAACATGCAGCAGATCATCTCCAAATGTGAGGAAGAGCTAAGCCAGGTTCGACATGACATTAAGCAGCAAAATAACCAATACAAGGTTCTTCTTGGGATCAAAACTCGCCTGGAGAAGGAAATTTCCACTTACCGCCTGCTGCTGGAAGGGAATGCTGACGGGTAAGGCAAAGCCGCCCGGACTGGAATAGATGAGAAGAGAGTTCTCATATTCGGGTTATTTACTTGTTTGTTTGTTTATGCTTAATCAAAGCTTGTGAGTTCCGTACTACATCAAGGGTTGGTATTTTAATGAGATGGATCATAATAAAAAGCTTGAGCCACTTAGTATACAGAGAAACTTGTATCCATGTAATTTGGATTATCTAAATTAATATAACTTTTTATTAAAAAAAATAATTCTACTTTCCCACAGCATGCCTATCTCAGCACAGGAAAAAATGCCAATTTCAGTAAAATTCACAGTCATTTCCTATCTTCAAAGCAAGTTCTAGATCAAAAGGAAGCCTAGAGCCTAGGTTGGGTCTTTGTTGGTCGGCCATCTGCAGTTCCACATACCAGCGCACACGCTCGGTACAGTACGCCCCGCTGCTGGTGGGTTGTTCGGTTTCTTGTCTGACACCTCTGCAGGCAGAAATCTTTGGGCCTCTATTCTTTATTCGCTCATCTTCTATGCAGACTATGCCTTATTTATACAAAACTAGGAAAAGGAAGATTAGCAGCCTTTATAGCTGAAAATCTCAGGGAGGCAGGGCAGCACGGCACCGGGTACGGGGTTAGTTGTCAGAAGCCAAATGGGATCAACTTGAGCAACTCAGAACATATGAGAAACAACGCGACTGGCCACAGCAGAAGCGATAATGAATGGACACAGGAACGGCTGCAGGTGAGAGTATCAGTACCTAAGACCACCAAAGAGGAAAAGTTCTCGTGGTATAAAAGCATCATTCTTTTTTTTATTATTATTTTATCTCTTTTCATAGTGGTATGAGATCTTCTTACAATCAGCAAGAAGAAGGGGGTGAATAAGTTCTTGAACTTAGCATAACCATTATCTTTCCTCTGTTATACTATCTTTACAGGATAGCAAGAAAATCTGAATCAAAAGCTAAAGGTAAAAGTCCCTCATTTTGTTCTCTATAGTGACTCTTAATTATTGTCATTTCCAATAAATTTTACGCAGAATAATTTTAACCTTAGATAAACGAACTATGAAAGGTTTGCATGGCACTTAATTCTTGTGTAGGCCACATTTGAGAATAATTTCAGTGATTCATCTGTCTTGTGAAGGGCTGCACTTCAGAGCACATTCTGCTGTGTCTGCCCACTCCCGGACTGTCTTCAGACTGACCTCTGTTAGTCAAACACGTTGGCCAAAGCTCAGAGTCAAGACTAAAGCTTTCATGGTCTGTGAGGAGGCAAAGAGGCTCCATTTGGTGACTAAACCAGCGCTAGGGCTTGAGAGCAAACAGCAAATCTGCATGTCTGGAACCTCATATTCTGGCATGAGCATGACCTACAGACATTTAGGATAATCTGCTCTGAAGTCAGATTTGCATTGGCTCAGACGTAGCTGGATTATTCATTTGCCCTGACCTGGACAAGACTCGGGTGACTTTCTGGCATTACATTTCACAAAGAGCAAGAGCAAGTAGTGACTTAAAGGGAAACGTGTAAAGATAAATCAGTTGAGGAGGGAGCTGGTAAATTACTGTAAATGAAGCTTTATACCTGCATCATCTTGTCTCTGCGCTGCTTCTTGTCTAATTAACCTTTCTTTTTCTTTCAGAACATGCTGGGCAGACCAATCGAAAGATCAAAGCAATTGTCCATGACAGTGTGAATGGGCAGGTGATATCCTCCACCATCAACGAGATCCACCAGCAAGCCTGAAGTTAAAAGCTCTGCTAACTACTGGCTTTCCTAGCGGGCCAAGCTCTGACAACCCTTCTGTGCCACCACACACTGTACGTTGGTCTCCCTGTGTGTAAACAGGGTTACTGCAGTGAACTCTCTCCTCAAATGATTTGCAGCCTCGTAATGACAAGTGCCGCACAGAGCTAGGCATAGCTGATACTGTTAGTTTAAAGAGCTTTTAGTCACCAAAACGCTGAAGAAAAGCTATTAAATGAAAATGACTGGCTGAGCTGGTAATGTATGTTATGCACATCTGACTGGGGCACGAATCTCTGCCTGTGATTCATTTATTGCTCTGCAAATTAACTGTAAGTTAAAGTAAATAATCTCTCAACTGTTCTCCTGGTCTCACGTCTCCCATCAGATACCTCACTGCAGCAAATAAATTCTTTTCCATTACTTGTTCTGGTCGTTGGAATTTCTGATTTTGCTTTTTCTTACATATGCACCAGCCCAACGTGGCTGTGTTACTGGCATGGGTCCTGACTGCAAAAGCCTCACTGTTTCAGGAGGTATAAAACTGGAAGGACACAGAAAAGAAGGAAAGAGGTGACATAAGTTACTGGTGACATTTACATAAGCAAAACTATTAGACTTCCCTATGGACAAATTTTCAATGTCATTGTTTAAAACAGCATTATTAGTAGGATTGCTGTGAAGCACACTGTACTACAATAGTCACCCTAGAAACATCTCTTTATTCTTCAGCTTTAGAGACATCTTCTTTAACTCTCTTTACACACTTTCCTTCAAAGATTAAAAGTACTTTTCCAGATACTCTCATTCTTTCTCAGTGACCCATTTAATTCAAAAAACATTTCAGTTATTTGCTTTCATATTCATGTTCATTGTTTTTGTTGATGGGTTCTGTAGTCAGGATAGACTGGTATATGCAGTGCATACTAACGTAAGGGGAGAGGCCCAAGCTTCGTTAGCCAAATCCAAGCTTCATTAGCCAAATCCAAGCTGCTTCCCCTTTCTCACACCAGCCCCATCACCGACTCAGCAGGAGGCCCTAACAGCAATAGGAGAATTTCCAGTGACATGTCAAGCTAAAAACTGAGCAAGAAAAAGAGAAATATTACTAGGACTGTTCAGACAACAAGGACTGTAAAGCAGAACGAAGAGAGACAAAATGGAGCCTAATGAGTGTCTGTTCGGATTTGCATTCCAAAGTCAACGCCTGCACCTAAAACAGTGTGTTCAGGACAGTCTCACATTCATCAGCAAAATCGTCATTGCACTCTTTCATTCCTACTCAAAAGGGACTTTCACACAGGATTCCTGTTACCTGCTTTGCTTTGAAACAAGGCTCACAAAAGAAAGGGAAAATTTCAAAGAAAATGCAGATTTAAAACAAACATGGTCCATCTCCACAACACAATGTTTTCTTTACTGGCATGTTAGGACCAGTTCACGATCCCCCTTTGCCCTCCCGCCCCCCAACTCTCCACCCTTGTTGCACAAAGAGATCCCAAAAGCATTGAACGGATTACCTAATGGTTTCTTTAAATTGGGTAAAACTTGTAATACAGGATTAGTGACTCTTGGCTAATTAACGATGTCCTTCCTTATGGCTTACCAGATCCAACAAGCCAGACCTGGTGTTTGTAGCATCTGGACAAAATGTGCCCAGGTTTTCTTGAACAATTTTCTTTGCTATTTAAGGTTATATTCACTTACCAGATTTACAGAGCATGACCGCATTGCTGCGATACAAATAACTACAAAACCTTCTAAGGAATTGAAGGAACACACCTATGCTTTGTGCTAGGTTTTGATTGTGCTAAACTACAAGGAAAGCAGAAGGAAAAACGAGTAATTGAAGTGCTTTACAGAACACGCCTGTCCTCGGTTCACATGCCTGAGCAATGCACCGGCTTCACTGGTGTGCTGGTGTCCTCCCAGGCAGAGGTGAGAGATGCAGCCCCTGCACTCCCGTGTTACGCCCAGCCATGGTCCAGCGGGTACTGGCTAAGAGGCAGCAGCATTCCCATTCCGCTCCACTGCCCTGATGATTTTAACCTTCTCGTACAACCGTGTCATTCCCAATGGTCAGACCAGTACAGCTCACAGCACTGACCTCGGAGTTCGCTGTGCACTAACAGCATCACGCAGCGATGGCTCCAAGACATCCCTTCGAGCTGCTGCCTTTTAATAAGTGAAATAAACCAAACAGTCCTTAAACATAGAAATATTAGCTACACTACTTCTGTTTTCTAAATGAAAACAAGTATCCTATGGCAAACCCTGTTTATTTCTGAAGAATTTTTCATGGCTGTAGAACACTCTGTATAATTGCAGACTTCCTTTTTGTTGAACAGCTCATGATACTGTGTCGCCAGCCACATGTTGCCCTATATCTAGTAGTTACTCATTCTTTCTGAATCCGTGTTCTGGTAGATAAGCTCTGCATTTCTGAATGTACTTAGGGTAGGTCTGCACCCTAAAAAATAAATAACGATACTACTATTTACCACTTGCGTGCACTGTTAGCTTTAGGTTCTCACAACACGCCGAGAGATGAAGTTAGGGAGATAATGAATCGGGGTAGTATTATCATTCCCATTTTATTGCCTGAGAAACTGGAAAAAGAGATGACACAACTCGCTCAAGGCTGCAAAGAATGTCACTGATAGCGACTAAATTAGAACTCATCACTTCACAGCTTCTACTTATCCCAGCTATTAGACAATACCACTTCCGCGCAGAGCCACCCTCTAGTTCCAGCAATCCCTCCTGGACCTCATCGCACCAGAGACACAGAATTTGACTGATTCATTTCAAGCGTGCACCGCCGGTCAAGACCCTGCACATACCCTGATGATGTTCTTCAATTTACTTCTTCCAGCAGCCCTACCAAAATCTGTACTGAACACTATGCCTATGACTTTGTAGTATTTGGGAAACGGAAAAAGAGAAGGCATACGTGCGTCTGTCTCTTAGACCGGTGTCTTGAAGGAAAGGAAATCTTCAGGAGTGTGTCACTGTATTGCTCAAAAAATCATATTATTAATTCATTGTATTAAAACTGATTGAACTCCCCTAGCTGGTATTTATTCTACTTCAGTATTAAACAGACACAGAAGTGCTGTTTCAACATGAAGGAAGCAACTGATCCAGGCCCATAAAAACTGCAATTGTAAAAATTTGAAGTATCATTAAAAAAATAACACATTCCAAGTGACTATATTCTATTTCCCATAAATGGAATAGGAAGGTGAAAAAGTATCAGTAGGAGAGAATGTAATTTCTAAGTCTAAGTGAATGATGTAACAGTACTTTTGCAAACTAACAAGACACAGGAACTCACAGGCTATAAAAGGAGGCTGAAACCATCCGCATTCACAAATCACTTCTCGCAGTTTCACCTGCCATTTAAGGAAGTCCTGCACTAAATAATCCTCCAAGGTGATTTATAACAGACTTGAACGCACTCCAGAATGTGAGTCATCGCTCATTTCACTTGTAGAAATGCAAAAACTTATTAAGTGCATTACAATACGCAGCTTTGGTAAGTGAATTGTTGATCCTCTGGAAGAAGTTTGCACTGAGGTAATGCAGCAATGCTTTGTGCTGTTAATCACACACTCTTCCAGGTGATGTGGCCACACATTGGCAGGCTGCTTTCTTATTTATGAACGAGACATTTCTGTAGAATGCAAAAGTTGTGCTTTCTGCCTGCCTTGTTAGCACAGATGCAAAATAAATTAAGTCATTTCAGACAGAGAAGAAAAGAAAACCCATCATTCACACCACTGCTGAAAACACTCTGTGTGCTGCTACTGAAGCAAAGGGAACAGGTAGAAGAGCCGGTAAAACGTTTCACAATGTCCACACCCTGACCTATAAAGGTTTCTAAAGTTCTGCTGGGAGATGCCTGCTCCTGTGCGTGAATCATTAGAAAAGGGAAGATCTAGAGCCAGGGAAGCAAGGGGAGAACAATGCGCCAGAGGCCTGCACCCCCCGCCGCCCCGCGTCCTGGATTACACAGCCGAAGCATCGCCAGTATTGACCTGACTTGTGCTTTTGGCTTCATGACATCACAAGTCATTTTCTCCTGTGTATTGCTTCCCCTTAATTCCTTCCTCAGTAACATTTTCCATTTTTTTCCAAGTTGTATTTTTAAGATATTTTTAGCTGCACGACTGTACTGAAATGACCTACTTGAGCCACACGCCTTGGGGTTGGCGTAACAGAATCGTTCGCAAAAGCATCACAACAAA